CCAGCTGCAAATAGGCTTAGTGACAATCCTAGCCATACCAGGGGAGTCATTAATCCATTATTTAAAGTATTTGGAATGCCCTACATGATACCCGTTCCTTGCCCGTCATCCATCCAAAGAACTTCGATCTGCTGTCATAGAGCACAATGATAAAAGGCACAGGCCTTTGTCTTCATTTAAGATAAGTTATATTCTTCTGTTACTTCTTTAGAGGTGGTGTAGATCCTACTTACATGAGTAAGAGTTAGTTTTGCACCAGTTGCTTTTACTGCTCTGCTACTTAAACTCGCTCAGTGCAAGGCCTTGATTAAACAGCAGTTGAATATCTTCCCAGGTGTCCTCACTGGCACAATTCCCACAATTACTACACCAGTGCTAGGAAAAATGGAGAGTAGATGCAGTCCCTCTAAAAGTGAGGGAAAGGAGGATGTACTATTTATTAGATTAGACATGGATAAGGGATCATTCTTAGAGTCACATTTAAATTACAATCAAGTAATTAAAAATGTACTTTCCCTTTTTTTCTAACTGTTATATATATAAAAAAAATGCCCTCATGATCTAGAACTTACTGTTTTTGTACTCTGGCTAAAATTGAATAACAAATGGTAGAACCAAGTAGAAATACTCTTGTTTTTTTTTCCAGGATACATTTCTGCTTTCAGGCAGCCAACTACTTAGAAAATTTCTTAGATTTTTTTTTATCCTTGTATGATATGGTAATGAGTTTGCTAGGTTATTTGAACTCTATTCCATTACCTCCTAATTTTCTCCTGCTTTCCTGAAATACATAGAGAGCAAGACTTGCTGTTCTCACTGGTTATAAATTATTTAGCAAAAGTATTCTTTTTAGAGTACTCTTGCTAGCAAGAGAGCAGAAATACAATGCAAGGTTTCATAATCAATACAAACAGGGAAGACTCTTGCTCAGTGACCTGACATCAGATACTTCATAGGCCTCTTGCAATACCCCATATATTTGTTCTGATGAACAAATTCAGTAATACCTTCCATAAAAGTTGCAAAATAATCTTATAAGGTTATACAAAACCCTAAGCACAAAAAAAAAATCTTACTAGCAAACTTCTTTTATCTAGACAAAAATTAAAACCATTTTTAAAAAGCCATCAAAATTTATTTCCAAACATAGTACATGAACCCAAATACTGGGTAGTTTCTTTAGCCTCACACAAGACATTTCATCTCTTTTATACCATCATGTTCACTTTTATAGAATCCATAATTCCATATTACATGGAGTTGTTTTGTTTAGGAAACAATAAAGGAAATGCTTAGGGGACATATAAACGACAGTGTCAGAAAGGGGATGGGAAGATACAGAATCCTGCTGTGCCTCTATTTCTAAACATTAAACTGTTGAGGAAAAAAAAATCTTCTGGGGCCACACTGATTTCTATAAACTGAATATAACATCTGAAAGATAAAATATGAAAACAGTAGATTCTGTATGGTCAGAAATCATCTGAATGAAAAATTATTTTTAGTTGACAGAGCTATTTATTTTAAGGGCAAATCATGTTAAATCTTTGATTAGCAAATTTTTAGAATATACTTTATCTTTAATGTGAAGAATTCCCACATAAACTTAATGTTCTCTTAAGTTACAAGCACAAACATAGTGTGTTATAACAATAAACATAATAGTAAACTCTTACTAATAATTTTGATTCTATATTCTAATTTCAATTGATTTTCTTTTAAACTCAACTTCTTTGAGATCTAATAAGCTAAAATATTATCATTGAATTAATTTTCAAGATCTCCTACATTTTGGTAACTACATTTCCCCCACTCTTCCCCCTGCCGTTTTGGGAACTGGTTTAGAATTACAAATATCATGGTAAAAACATTAATATAGCAAGGAAAGACAGTGACCTTCAGAACCTTTGCTAGAAGCATAAGGTATCTGAGCAACCTTGCAGTGTTCAGCTAAAATAACAGCTATTGGATAATGGCTGCCTTTACAATGCTGGACTGTGAGGATGCCTGCAGTGATACTGTCGATGCTCATTAATGTTACTGTCGATGCCACTGCTGGTTAAAAAAAGCAACGGAGAAAACGAACAAACATCAAGTGTCACAAAAATCTATCAGTTAAGGAGATCACTTCAGAGGATTTCACTATATTTGCCAGCATGGTAGATTATAAAAGCCACTCTCTTATAATCTTGCTCGTTAACAGCAGAAGAAAACCTTAACAGAAAGTGTTCTATACGACTGTTATTTACAAAACACCTGGTACTTATAGACACAACTTCCAGGAGGAAAGCTGAACATAAACTGGAATCAAGTATGAAGTGCCCTTTCAAATGCTATACTTGAATTTCTGTACTCGCCAATATCTAAATTTATGTTTTTGTTAATATGACAGAAACCCATAGTTGTATGCAAAGCTCCACAGGGAGGACTAGGACATGCAGGCTGACAAGCCCCTTGCAGTCTCCTCTCTTGCCTGCCCAGCTGCTGTGCTACACTGTCCACCTGGGCTGTGCTAATGTGAATCAGGACAGTCATCCACTGATCCACCCACCAACATTACTCCTATTCAGTGAGAAGTGCAGCTACTGTAAGAGCATCAAAACACAGACTTTGTGTTAGAGCATCAGACTTTGTGTTAGAGCATCAAAACACAGACTTTGTGTTAGAATGCAGCTGCCAAAGGTAAGGTAAGTTTTGACATTTCATGTGTTACTGAGTCAAATACAAAATATAACAGTATAGAATATATGGAATAAAAGACTGTGAGAATGCAAACAGAGAAAGGAATGGAATCAAGGTTATACAATCTAATGACTCTTGCCTCAGTTTCCTTCCTCATCCTTCCTTCCTTGCTAACTGCCTTCAATGTCTGTCTGTTTTTTTTTTTTTTCCCCCCTCCCTCCAGTTGTGTCTTTCTAGACAAAGGGGGATGTTTATACAGTTGTTGTGAGGGCGTTTTGCAGACTTTGGAAGCCATTCAGTTAGCAAAAGAAGTTACATCATGTCACTGGTGATGGATCAAGCGTGAAGTTGAAGTGAAAAAGTAGCTGCAATTTGTACTTTGCCAACAGTCAGCTGGTGAAAATCTGTTGGCAGGACCGATCTTGCTTGAGCAGTGAATAATGACTGCATGTGTAAAGATCAGGGTTTCTGAATCGTTTCCAGGTGTTTTAATCACACACACTGTGTCTTTAATTTATTCTTAGTGAGCCTGAACAGACTGGACATTTGGTATTGCATACACTGAACTGAGTTAAATTAAAATCCCTTTTCGAATCTCTCCGAGAGGAGGCACCTAGAAATGGGCACCTAAAGAATTTGGATACAGATCAGACTGATTTAATGCTACCAATGCAGATTATTTTGTTTGTTTGTTAGTTTCCACAGAGTTCTAACTGACCTCACCAAACCTCGTCTGTTTGTGCACATATCCCTGCATGAAACAAAAAATAGCTCATGCTTTAGTAACTAGTCAAAGATCAACTCAAACAAATGAAAGCTGCTCAGTGTTAACTCTAACTCTGAAAATCAAATTTCTGCAGGTTTTCTGTTGCTCAGGAAAACAAGGCGATTACATCAGCATAAATGCCTGTGAAAAAAATAGAGTCTACTAGGCATCCTATGCATAGAAACATCCAAAGCCAATGAACCGTGGGGGGCTCTAGTTATTTATAGTACCTTCTACTTAAAATTTATGGAAGGATTTTCCCTAAGGCCTTCACAGTCTTACAGATTCAACATCAAGCAAAATAATTATAGATTACTCTTACCCGATAACCTCTCCAGAATGACTGAATTATTCTGCTCGCTTCTTTTCTGGATAGAAGGAGAGACAGGGGAAGTGGTGGCCTAGGACTAAAAATAAAAACAAAAAGTTTTGTAAACCGACTTCAAAATTAAAATACATTCTTCCTTAACAATGTATCTCATAGAAAAAGACAGAGGCTGTTTGTGAGCTTGCAAGATACAATTTCTTGTTGTTCCAAGATAAAAATGTACAACAAACAGCTCCCTTAAAATACATCCTGTAGCACTACACTACCAACATTTTTTCATTAAAACAATAATATGACTTATCAGGAGGCAGTAATAGCCCCAGTAATTGGCAGATTCACCCATCTGAGTGACTGTTTTATCAAAACTAGAGACACATGCAGCCTCAACTGGAACATTCTTTATACTATTTATACTATAGACACACCTATGCTGGAATGTTAAAAGAAATACAAGGTATGTATCCAGTCTTGTGGTTAGTGGCTAAAACATTACTTCTGCCATTTCTTTTGGAAAGATATTTTACAGCAAACCGTGGCTCAGGCTAGAAGCCTTGACAACTTACATCTTCCTTTTTCTTAATACTGTTCCTATTTGTCTCTGCCGCCTCATAAGCTTCCTATGCTCTTTGAGCCCTTTCTCGTAGGGCTTTTCTTCACTGAAGGAGTGTTTCAACTTAAAGCACAACCTTAGCTGTTATTTAACACTGTACCAACTGCATCATTTGAGTTGGTACACGCAGCTAAATTGGTCTCATCATCATGTCAGCTGGGTTTTGGCCTACATACATTTTATGTGAAAGAAAATCTCTGTCTGTTTGGAAGAATAGAAATAAGGCAATAATAAAAAGAAGCCTCTCCATTAAGCTAAACAGTTACAGCTCTGTGAACGTTAATTAGCATTTCTACTGCTCCAGGGAAATCATAACTGCTGGACAAGCAAGGTTTCCCAAGCAAGCTGCTTTTTATAATCTCACTTAGAAATAAGAGGTTGGACTGGTTTTGCTGACAGACCCGCATCCTCTATTCTATTTTTGATCTTTCTGAAAACCAAAACTTTAAGTGGGAAATCAGAGAAAGAGACCTATATATTTTGCAGCAGCTCCACTAAAGGTACGGATATTCTCTTTGAATGAACATCGGTCTCTAAAGAATAAATAGAGATTTCTTCTCTATGCAAAGCTACTCTGTTATTCAATAATAAAGCAAAGGAATGGCAGTGCAGCGTAGTTTATAAGCCAACACTAAATTGGAGAAAGCAATATAAAAATCAAGCAAGCCAAACAGGACTTAATTTTCAGCACAGCAGCCACTAGGAAATATCAATCATATCAGCAGGGCAGCTTTAAAGAACAAGAGTCATGCCAGGTCCATTTCTGTCTAAAGGAATATACACAATTGGCTTCGGGTCAAATAAAAATAGAAGTTGAGCAGAGGCAACCACCCATCAACAGTGAAGTAGGGGAGGATATGTCATTTGTGGCAGAAGACAGCTGTATCACTCAAAAAAGATTAAAACTGACAGTAAAATGTACAGTAACTATATTCTGCTTATTTAGTCTTTGATTAGAGATACTCTTAAAAGCCCATATGTTAAAGGTTTCGATATTTATTTTGATAGATACAAGGGATATACTGTGCAACTTAAGTTGCACCTGTAAGATAGCATCAATAAGAAAAAAAAAATCAGGAATCTTGCACTTTACCAAATGTGAATAAAGTAGACACCAACTAGAGGAAAGTTTATTTTCAGGAAATATGTTTCTTCCTTTCTGAGCAATCAAGCTTATACAGATTCTGATTATGTGAGACACTTAATTACATAACATTATGCAGATGGAACGTGGCACCCAGAAGATACAAACCACACTTGCATTACATAAATGTATGGGGTATTGAAAGAGGCTCTTACTGTAGACATGAATATCCAATTTCCTCTTACACTGAAGCTGGGTTTCTCAATGAACTTGATGTTCTCCAGAAGGGAGGAAAAAAAGTATATTTCTCTTTCTTGTGAGAAGGAGAGAAAAGCTAACAGGCAGAGATTTATAATCACACAGATGTACAGTGTGCCCAGCATTTTCACCACAGGCATCTCCAGAAGCCCCAGTTGTCAGTAAGCTCCCAATTTACCACAGAAATTGAAAATCTGACCCCTTCCTTTAAAAGTTTACCAAATACAACAAAGGTAATATATGGAAAAAAACAATCAAGCAAAGTTTTCACTATGTATCATCTGGGATATGTAATTGCTGGTTTTAATCAGCTCCAATTCCCAGTAGTCACTCAGAGCCTCCACTCCTGCAGCTCACACCGTTCTCGCAGCTCCCTGCCTGCAGGATCACGGCGCTCACCACGCGCACCAGCAGGACGGTGCGCAGGGAGCAGCGCAGCCGCCGCTGCCGGTACGCGGCCACGAGCGCTTCCCCTTCCCTTGGCTGTGATGCTACTGTCCTTGTATATTTGTGTATGGAAAACAACAAGGACCTTGCGTGCACCTGAGAAACCCAAGAACATCAACAACGACAAAGTCGGTGCGGAATTCACAAACGAAAAGAAAAGAAGAGCAGACAAAGGAATGGGGATAAATAGGACATGCCAGGAGATGAACATGGTGTTCTGCATGATTTTTAAAGAGAGTCTGATAAAGTGTTGGATTTTGAAAGTACTTAAAAATGCAGATGCTGGTCTGAATAATAAAAAATCGCTCTGCAAATTTGAGACAAAATTTTCTATTTATTTCCACTATGCCTATTTTCAGGAATACTACTGTAGTACCCCACCTTTTACAATTATTCCTTTCTTCTTAAACGCCTTTTCAGTCACGCAAAACTGTGCAACTACAAATCTCATATTAATAATGGAAAAAACAAAAAAACAAAGCAAATGAAACGTACACTGAGCAAGGCTGGTTTAGAGACAGTCTAGTGAAATACAGCAGTGTGCAGAGAGCAGTCTGCAGAAACTGGGCACAATATGGGAAGAAAGAAAGCAGCCACCCATGCTAAATTACCCCTATCGGCCATCTGAGAACTGACAATGAAATCAACTGTAAAAGCAGCTGAGACCAGCAGACTTTACCTAATTAGAATATTGAGGGAGGAGAGGGGAAAAAAAAAAAATCCATGTGAGTGCATGCCTCTAAAGATATTTCGGCAACACCTTCTTCATATTTAGTGAACATTATAAACATACATATGTGCTATCTGTCTATATCTATATAGACATATATATCTGTTATATTAAAGGTATGATAGATCTATTTTCTCTCTATCTGCACATTTGTTTTGGAACTCACCAACAGAAACCCAGGAAATGTGTCCTTCTGAACATGACACATGTTCCTGATATAGAGTTATCAAGAGATACCCCTATACAGAAAAAAGAGGAAAGGGATTTTTTTTCCTCAAATTAATTCTTACAATTGAAAATTTATTCATAAAAGCATCTTTAGTTCTTGTAACCCTTCTAAAATATGCATACAAAGACTAGTCTTCAACAGAGGAAAACACACGTGTCTCCTCCAATCCCAGATCTATACACTCTTCTCTTTCATTGAACCTCAGGGTGGAAGGTGAACTTGAACAAAACTGAGTATTATCAATGTGACACTAAACTTTTATGATGCCAATATTTCGCAGAGCACTGGAGTTTTCTGTTTTAAAGTTTCTTTAATTAAAAGGTTCAAGAAGGTTGGGAAATCATACTCGTGACACTCAGAATCAAGACAGTAAACTTTTATGATGCTAATATTTTGCAGAGCACTGGAGTTTTCTTTTACTGTTTTAAAGTTTCTTTGATTAAAAGGTTCAAGAAGGTTGGGAAATCATACTCGTGACACTCAGAATCAAGACAGACCTGACTTAAAAAAGCAAAACATAAGAGGTTCAGGGCACACCACAGATGAATCTTCTCCCTGACTCCATGCAAACAGCTTGGTTACTGGCGATTGCGCTCTACGGCTGTTCAACCAGAAAAAAAACCCTGGGAAATGCTGACAAAAGGCAACTGTGTTGCTTGTTTGCATATTTATAGGAGGAGAACAAAACAGTCAGGCTTTAATTCCGTTTAGTTTACTTGAATAAATGAGTTGTCTTGAATGTAGGAATAGGGACAAGAGTAAATATCTAAGTAAATTTCAAAGACTTGTGTTAGTTGCTTATTAAAACTACAGTTTTCTCTCATCTTAAAGGTATGGTTATTCTTCAGGACAACATAAATATTCTGTGTGCCCCTCCAAGTGAAATGGAGATTGCCACTCACTACTGGGGCTATTCCTCCTATTGCTTCTGAAATCTGCTTCAGGAACCACGGATTCCCAAAGGATATAATATTTGTCAGTGTTATTGCTAGTACGCTGCACACCTACTTCATCTACAGAAGCCAGCTTCAAATTACAGCTATGCTGTTTGCATTTGAAGTTCTGCAAACAGATGCAGCATTTGGGTCTCCTTCTGAGGAAAAGCAGGCTGCAAAATCTCATTTAGAAACACTACACTGAAAATAAGGCTGGTAAGACTGTGGCTTTGACTATTCTATAAAAAAAAAAAAATCACATTTCAGCTTCAAAGGAAAAACTGGAGGCACTGGAAAACGGCCAAAAAAGTCATATTCAAGTATGTACTATATTAAAAAAGCTGGATCTCTGATAGAAGAAAAAAGAACTATCCCTCTTTTTTTTTTTTTGGTAAAGATGAAGATCGCTCTGCCCTAATAAAAAAAAAATCCTGTTTAACACAGGATAGTGATGCATTCCTATTTAACAAACCTTTCCGAATCTTTTGCAAATTTAGGCATGCAACTGAAAAAGCAAAACAGTTTATTTCTTACAAATTTGTAGCAACATCTTCTGCCTTTACCATACTTCTACCATCTAAACATTAAGAAGGAAGTTTCACATCAAAATTTGACCATTGCTAAGCATATTGTCTCTTACATATTCATAAATCCTCATCAAAAATTGAAAACTGCATTACAATAAAAATAGAAACTACAATAAAAAAAACACTGAAACCAGTAACTTTTAAATCTTATATCCACAAGGACATAATAATAATAACTTGTTTTCTCATCTCTAATATGGCAAATATTTCACTTTGCTCTAATAATGATTACTTTAGAAGTGATATTTGTCAAGAAATCTATAATTTCAAAATATATTTAGAAAAAGTTGCTTTTTCATGCAGTGTTTTAAGGATCTAGATGTAAATCTAGAGGTTTTAAGATCAAGTAAGTATCAATTCAAATAGGACTTTGACACTTTGGTGTCCTTGTGGAGCTGTCACTATGTTATTTAGGAGCACAAGTCCTAACAGAAGCTATGAGTCATGCAGGCTGTGATTCCACAGTGTATTTCTCTTGTTGGCAAAGCTGACTCAAGCAGTTCCTGCCACCACCTCTGTGTCTTACTGCCTCATTTGTTCTCTTCACCTTGCCCCTAGCTCTTCATTTTAATCTGTTGTTTATGCCAGTACAAAGGCTTATGAGACCCTCAGGTGAACCAGATCAAAGAATTGTTCTAATATTATCAATACCTATGCAAACTCTCACTTCATATTTTGAGAAGTTGCTTCTAATTCAGATGATTCAGAGGTTCCTGATCAGAATAGTCAAGCAGCCAGGCAAACAGACAGTGTGACCATTTCAGCCAGCTTCGCTTCTGAGAGAAATGTCTATAAAACCACAGTCTTAGTTATCTGTCTTAAGTATATCCATGCATCCATCCTCACAATTCAGTGGTATCCAAGCCAGCTTTCTATTCAATGTCTCTTTACCTATGAAATTTTATGTCATTAATTAATTAATGTCATAGCCTCACTCCATTTCACAATCCAAAGTGTAATTTCCATACTACAAAATCTAGGACTGTGAAGCAATCTTGTTGGCAAGACCCAGCAGACTGTAATGAAACTCTTAGCTGTGAAGTGTCCCCTGTCGGTGGGGCATTTGGTGGCTGGGCAGTATGATGTAGCAGTAGGTTCCCAAAAGGAATCATCCTCCAGAGATTTCCCTCTCAATACAGAGACATCCCACACAACTCTGATCAGGTGACTACCTTTAAGATAGCTAAAGCCAGACTAGATGAATCCCAACTGTCCTTGCCTTCCTCACCAAGTTGTCACTAAAGACCTGTGAACACCATGGACCTTTCCTCCAGCTGAGGCACTCACTCAAAATTCTGTTTCTTCTAAAAAATTTTCTCTAAAGTTTCGTTCACACAGCATAATAAAGTGACCATATACATGAAGATACTCATCACTGACTACTAGGCTATCAGAATGCCCTGCACCCTACAATAAATAAATAAATAAATAAAGGTTTAATTATACTTAATTGTTCCATTAATGATCCTGGTACAAAACGACTTGTAACTAATGCACTATCAAGTTAGAAAGCATCACATAGTTAATTATTTGTTGCAGAAAGTAAAGGGCATTTAAAGGGAACAATTAAAATGCATTTAAGCTCTATTACTGTTTTGGAATAACTAGAGGAGAAGAAGAGAAGGAGAAAAGGTTACTTGGAGTAGCGTGATAACTTACTGCTCTTTTAGCCAGTCGCTAACGAAAGGAATGGAAAAGAATGCTGTGAATGATTCATCTTTCCTCTTTGGGTTCTTGCTGATTTAAAAAACAAAAACAAAAACCTCATGTTAATCTAAACTGGAGCTATTCTACTTGTAAAATAATGTATTGGAATCATTAGACATAATTAATTGTAATGACAGTGATTAACTTACTTGTACAACCACTCGGTTAGGAAATCACAGGCGATAAATTTGGTTCTTTTTCTCTAAAAACAGAAAATAGTTTGAAATTGTTTATTATCTTTGGATTGGTCACATATTTTTACAAGTGACGAGGAAGAAAAGCTAAACTGATTGTTTTTACTAAATAAAATATACAGTACATTATTCTGTGTACTTTAATATTAATATAGCCAACGGTCAATGCTTCAGCCAAAATTTTAGAAACTACACTTGTGGAAATGCTTCCCAGACAAATCTAAAAAGGAATGTTTTTTTTTTTTTAAAAAAAACACATTTACTTATTTAAATTGATATTTAAAGATCAAATATAAATATATAAACATATCTATATAATGTATACAATTAGATATAACATACTCAGGCACATATATAACAGTATTGCTTGACTGCTCAGTCAAAATTATCTGCTGGGGAGTCCAGAGCAGACAGCGCAAAGGAAGCTTACGTACACCCCCTGCCACACACACCACGGGCAGTCAAAACATCAGGCAAAAAGAGCCTGGAGCTTTGAATCAAAGTTCGTCCTCTCCCCCTAATTCCAAGACTTCATCACTACCAAAGGCAATGCTGGAAAATGCTTTGCAGAAGCTTATCCTTAGCGACTCATGCGGGCAGGACCTGCTTAGCTTGACTGCTTTGCACTCCATAAAATAAGTTTTGAGGACAAAGTTCAAGGCATGAGCTTTGATCATTACAAAATTGATTGGGGCCTTCCTTTGCCTAGAGATTTTCTTTTTGTGCTCCATCCTTACAGATCAGCTGTAAAAAAAAAAAAAAGTGTAAATTCTTATCCTGCTTACTCACAAACCAGGTAACCATGACGTGTGGAGCACAACCTAGATGACTGGCTGGAAGGAGAAGATGTTGGCGAGCATCCTTCGGTCCCCTCACTGGATGCATTGCATGTATACACAGTCAGAGAATGAGCACTAAAAGATACTTATTCCGTTTCACAGAACAGAATTTCACAGAATGTTTCACAGAATAAATTCTATACTTTGACAGTAAAATCCAATTTAGTCTAGCAGTTGTAATTTATTCCCTTTTAAGTAAATTGTTCTTTCCTTTGCAAGGTGGGAAAACAGAGCAAAACAGTGCTATCCAACAGTTCTCGCTGAAGGAAGTGTTCTGAACTTCGTTTATCCCTATTAAATCCAGGCAATTTATCAGAAAAGAATTCACTCCCTCTGACTATTCTTATTATTGTTTGCCTGGGAAAAAATATTTTTGAGAGTTTATTAAATCTTACTTGTACATCAGCTGACCTTTACAGAAGGGAAAAAATGACATTAATTGACCTGCCTGTAGCACATCCTTCCAATGCTACACAAATCAGGACAAACACAGGAAATATCTGCACAATGTGCATTGTTAACCTGCAGATGTGTTTACAAAGTATTTATGCTCAGACTTCATTTCAGATTTTTCATCTTCTATATGATATATTTGATAATAACAATGCAAAAATACTGGTGATCAGAAGATTGCAGAAGTCATTAGGGAAAATTATTTCATTCACTTTCCATTATCTAATATACTTTTCAAAATATTTCATTAGAGAGTCTTCTACAGTAACCTCTTTCTGTGATCATCAATAAGAAAAAAAGCGGGGTTATGGTAATAAACATGTTTAAACATTGTTGAGATTTAATTCCGAAAAAAAAAAATGAATGCATTAGTCAACTCTCATGAGAGAGAAAATGTAAGAAAAGAGTCTTTCCCCTTGAGATACTTAGCAACAGATAGGATAAAGCACAGGAAATTTATGGTATGGAAGAAAGCTACTTCAGCAAGGCAATATACTGGGAGACCTAGGAGGTTTCTTTCATCTCTCATTTAAAAATGAAGCTTCTGCAGACTGTGCCCATATTTATGTCAGTCTGAAGTCTGCAAACATATCTAGCAGATGGTTGTTTTTAAGGCTTTTGCATTTCAGATTCTTCAAATGCACTATATAATGAAAAGAGACTGTTTAAAATTAACTGCTTATGTTCCCATAGTTCTGTATCACTTTTCAGGGGATCTTGCATGTATCTTTCCTTCACAAACGGCTACAAATAGCACCAGCTTTTCCCTTTCCTAACTTTCCCTTCTCATTCCACAGGTCTTCCTTACTAGACATGAATGCATCTTCTCTGCTCTCTTCCTTGATTTCCTCTGTTGCTTCTATCTCCCAACTTTCTTTACCCCAATTTCAATTTATAATTGACACACATTGCTTATGTTTTCATCCTCTTCTCGTTCTTCTTTATTTCCCTTCAAAGCACAAAAATTAGTCCCTCTCCTCTTATCAAAAACCCACCCTTCACTCCTTCTTGTTGTTCTTCCCTTCTCCCAGGCTCAGGGAACACTCATTGCAACCTCTTTTACTGCTCCTACTTTTTTTCCATGGTCTCTTCAGTCTTCCACTGCTTTACTCTGTTGGAGCTGTCCTTGACAGGCTTTAATAACTAGAGCCTAGTTTGAACTAAATTCAAACCCTGTATTCTGTTCTCATTCTTCATTATTTCAGTGACCTTAGTCACAATTCATTCTTTACTTGTTCTCTCATAACTTCCATAAATCTTTCTTTTTTCAGCTCTCCTATTTTTGAAGCTATGTTCCAACATGCTCAAAGACCCCTTCTCCCTGTCCCCAACTTTCTCTGGCTTTTCCAGGGGCTCTGTGCTTGACCAGAATAAGCATTTTCATGCAAACAGGACCATGATCTTTTCTTCTAACCTATACAGAACAATGCATTTCTTACGAATCAGAAGTATAATTAGAGTTTATATATTTAAGTCAAATAAGGGAATGGAACATCTAAGTATTAAGCACCCGGACAACAATGAAAAATAACACAAATATTCACGTCAGGAAATGAAGAGCTATTGTTTTACTACTTATTATTCAGAAAAAGGAAGAAATTATGTCATAGTGGAAAATGATCATCTGACATAAAACGGCTTAATTCTCTAGCAACCTGGCATTTCTCCCCTTCAAAGCAAAAATCACTTAGTGTCTTTTTTGATAAGAGGTGTCCTTTATGTGAAGTTCCAAATACTGGTAAAAGGTGCTTAAACTTCTCATTTGATTTTTATTAATTTATTATAAAACAACATATGTCAAACCACATACAAAAACCTGTTTTCAGAACAATTACTTCCTAAACTATCTACCATAAGGTACTGAATCTTTGAAAACAAACAAACAAAAACTCAGACTAAAAAAGAGATATAGTAAGCTCAAATTTGTACCGAGTTTGAAAATGAAATATTTCTAAGAAATCTCATATTTTTACACTAAGTACTGCTTTATTGCCTCTTATTCTTCACAATTATGTAAGTCCTATTAAGGACTGTATTTTAAAATAACTTTAAGAGAGGCCTTTTTCTATTGACGGAGATAATTTTCCTTAAAAAAAAAATCAATATAAATTTCATTAAAAGTGTGATGACTAATATATATGTGCAATCCCTACTTGGATAGATAATATAAATGTGATGGCAGGAGTTATGTACAGAGTCATTCTGTAATCCCCTGTAGAATAACCACTTGCCTATTTCACAGTATTAATCACAGATTTTATATAACTCATATAATATAAAATCTATAAATCTATAGACCAATAAGCTTATAGACACATCCATCTTGGCCAAGTTTTGGCAAGGTTCATACTAATCTACTGTTATGAGAAGTACGGATCTGAATTTGAAAGCTGAGTTTGGGATGTCCATGCAAGCACAGAAAGTTTGGTGGGTTTTTGGCTGTGCCCAGGGCAGTGCAGCACACATGCCCTTCAGGAGCTGTTTCACAGTGCCTGTTATCACATGCACACAGGTCTGCATTCAGATGGCACACGAAAGTAGGTCACTGTCAAGAGCTGGCGTGGAGGTAGACCAAGATATGAATAATAATCTACTGGCATGTTAAATCATTCTTACCTAACAGCCACTCTAGTCTGTAAGCCCACGAGCCCAGACTGCATTCCTCAGATACATAGCCCATACACCAAAATTATTGCTATTTATATTAATTACTATTTATATTATGATGCTGTAAGTAAGATGTGGCTCAGATGCAGGCATAAAGATATAGGGAAATTTCACACCGAATAATGCTGAACACAGAAGTTAGGAAAGAAATAAAAGAAAGATTACTTCCATGGTGGGAGAAAAGGGTAGAAATCACAAAAGAACCCACAACTCCCCATTCCTAATCTGTTGCTGGGAGTCTCTGTGTTAGATTGTGATGAGGCAATGAGCTTTCTTTTGAACCAGTCCTAAGTTATTTTAAACATTCAAACATACAATGAAGAGTCTCTTTCTACATGCGTGTTTATACACACACAAATATAACAAATACAAATATTTATGTAGCAGATAAATATTAAAAAGTACTGTCTTTATAGGTTCATTATGCTAAAGACTTTACCTTCCACTTAAATGCAATTTTACATAGCATTTTAAAAAGCTTTAAAAAAAGAAAGAAAGAAAAAAAAAAGGGGTGCCAGACCAGGTGAAATAATTGAGTAAGGTACATGGTGCTACATAAAGCCCATCCTCTCTGCTTCATTCTCTGTAAAGGAGCAACATGCAATAACCTGAAAGGAATATTGTGTCTTGAATCACTGTTTAGGGTAGATACAACTGGATTTTTAAAGAAGACTTGGTGTGATTCAGAGATTGTCATATTGATCATGTGTCTGCAGGATGCAGTCTGTTCTAAATTACTGAAAACAACAACATTCAGGACTGAGTTGCTCTAAAACAGGATATGTTATTTTGTATTATTGTGGTCAGCTTTCTTGTGAAAGACCAAATAATGATATATAGCCTGTGAAATAAAAAGCTCTAATTTCTTATCCATGATTTGAATTGAAAACTAAGAACGAACCTCAAAACACTTCTCCTTCTTTGCCTGATGTAGAAGTTCAGCCATTCCAGGTAGAAGCACTGGAAATATGTAATATTCTAAGTATTCTTGAGGAGAACCTGGATAAAACAGCACAGTTTTCACTTATAAGCAAGCACTCAGATTTCACAGAAAGATAAACATCAAAAAACATAAAGCAAGTATCAGTTATCAGGACCATTGCAGCTGGCACCAGGCACAGATTCTTTCAATTTAGATACCACTAAGATCTGTCTTCATTTTTCTTCAGCCAAGAACACACAAACTTGACAAACCAAAGGTACGTGAGCAACCAAGGGTACACGAGCAACCAAGGGTACACCAACACTGCAAGCTCCACTGAGCCTCAGAGATGTCAGGCTTAGTTTTAAATTAGCTAACTTGAGCATCAGAGGCAGTTCAGCTACAGAAGTGAGAAGACATGTGGATTAATTTACCCTGACAGGAAGAAAAGTAAATTAGCCTGCACTGAATTTTTGTACTGTTACAGCTAAACTACTTTTGGTATCTATATTCATGTCCTTTACACACTACAGTAAAACTGGATTTCTAGATGGAGGGAAAAAACAAAGACTATATTTCAGTGATGCCCTGATTTCCTTTTCACGATCACATTCTACTTGCCCGTTCCTCAGGAAACGTGAATATTATATACCCAATTTTGCCATCTTGGCAGGGATGTCTGAGTTGGCATCTCTCTCTCTTATTACTGACTACTGCCCCTATGCTCACATCTCCTTGCCACAGAGCATGCTACGCACACAGCACTGCGTTCCACACCAAAGAAAGCAGCTGCAGGCACCAAAACCCAGCAGGGATATGCAGGTATAGTGCTCCATATCTAGCCTAGTGGTTAAACACGCGTCTGATGAGGAGACTCAAGTTCAATTTCCCTCTCAGCTTCTCCTTACATGTCCATCTTCCCTAACAAGGCCTTTCAATACAAACTTAAAACTAGGCTTTGAAGTGCAGGATCCTTCTATCGCTTTTGTTGAAGGGATCATATATGGAGAAACTCTGATTTACTAAGCCAGAGAGACAGGATCAGAGGGAGCAAGACATCGATGAAGCTACAAGTGCACTTTCCTCAAAACAGAGCTCATTAGCTTGGGTGGAGAGGAGAACAACCACAGACATATGGAATTTGTATCTCTGGAAACATGCTACACTGCAACATGTCAGCCTCTAAGTTAGGTCACTGCTAGCTCGGAAATCTCAAAATCATACAGACTTACTACACCTTTAGAAATCTCAAAAGACTAACAAAAATTCTTTGGATCTTAGACATGAAGGCTTATTAGCTGAAATGCTGTTCTCAGTCTGAAGTCAGACTGCCCATCCCTGTAGTAAGCATTCAGGTCTTAGGGCAGTCAGTAAAGATTAAATTACAAAAGGTTTCTCCTCTGGCAGAACACAACTGCAACACGGAATTTATTATCTGGTTCATACCTTTAATTGGTTTACGCACTGCCAGAAAATGTTCACAACTGGAAGACAGCTATAGATATAAAAGCTGAGGGTAACACTCCTTCTAACAACAGGAATTCCTAATAAGCAAGAATGAATGCCAGAGAAGAAAATGAACACAGATTAAGAAGTGATGGGGGGGAAAAAAAAGACTTTAGGAAAGCTGAAAGATACATTGTTACTTGGTGAATTTCACAGAGAGTGATAAAAAAAAACAGAAGAACAGAACTTCAGAGGCCATTTCCATTCTAATTTGTGATCAGATAGACAAAGATAATATTTTCAAAGTAGTTTTCAGGCTTAATTATATATTTAGTCTATTGATCCTAGTTTAGCGTTATTAAATCAGAGGGAAAAAGGAAATGTTTGTCCTCTAAGTGGCTAAATAAAAAGTCACTTGTAAGAAAACAGAATTATCTTAACTGCAAGACACTAATACTGATTTCTCATCTGCTGCCATCTTATCAGGGCTTTTTTCCACTGACAAAGGGGCAAATCTGGCTCCCTGTCTAAGGAACTAGGGGACTAATCATGCAAAATCCAGAAAAGTGTTGCAGCAGTTAATATTATAAATTAAACAAATGACAAATCCTCGTCAAATGCAAGAAAATAATCACAGAAGGGCTCAAGATCTTACACACTTACATGTTTTTGGATCAGGTGGCTCTGAAGAGATTCTTGCCTTGCATTTGGAAAGCAACTGCTCGCTGACATTAGCTGCAGAGGTTGTGTAGAATTGTTCCATACCTAACGACTGCAATATTCCTGCCTCCAAAGACACCTGTCCAAGATAAATGTAACTCTCATACATTTCCAAGCCAAACTATAAAAGAAACAAAACAGCAAACCCAGCAGGAAAAAAATTGTAAGGTCAAGTAAAAAGAATTATGCATTTATAATTTCTAATTAAAGTAGTAAATAATTTCACTGTTTTGCTTACAAATGTTAACCAGACTGTCAAGCAATTTATCCTCTAAAACCTTCAGTGTTAAAGTAAGAAAGTAATCTAAATAAGGAGTAGCAAGATAAAATGACTACAGAATGCCCAGTCTAAATGAAAAAACAACAACCAAAAGAACTAACTTCTCTACTCATAGAATTGCTTGGGGCAAAGTGGTTTTGTCACCAGAAAAAATAGATTATCTTTCTTAAAAGTTTTTAGGTATTCCTTCTATCAAACAAACAAACAACCAAAAAAAACCCACCTTTTCTAGAACCATTTTATTTGACCAAAATTAGCATTAAAACAAATTTGAACAAATATAACACTGCTGATTTCAGCAGACACACTTAAGTAATCTGCCACACTCTGAAATGGGGCATAGCTCCCTTGCTCCGCTTGCACCCCTCTTTCTTGCACATTTTAGGGCACAACTGTTCGCAACATGACAGCAAAGACACTTGCATACTTCAGAGTCACAGAAGACAGACAGTGAAATGCACATACCAAACACAGCTGGTAAGCTATTTTAGGACAGTATTGCCCAAGTTGCTTTAAATAAAAGCAATAATTTGAGGAATATTATATTTGTTGACTGACATCAGTTCTTTGCAACATGTAGCTTTGTTTTCATTTAATTTTATGAATGAGTCTATTCCAGTGCCAACTAATTTTCCCATTTCGTTACTGAAAAAAAAAAAAACACAACCTTTTAAAACCAGCCCTCTTAGGATTATTTTGCTTTAACTATACTCACAGACTCTTCCTCTGATTCATATAAATCATCTGGAAATGTAGGTTGTTCTGCTTCATACTCTGAAAGTAAGAAGAAGCATGGCATTTATCCAAAAGACCTAATAATAAGTATTTAATTTTCCTTCTGCACAAACATTACTTTCTAAGGCTACTTATTCTGGCTTGAAACAACAAAAATACCACTTTATGCCAAATACTTGTTTAACATAGGGTCTAATGTGTTACAGCACATGTGAACTTTAAAGCCTCCTGTCTTGGCATGAAATCAAGTTCAAGATTCTCAATGTTAAATGGACCTTTTATTGAGAAAGAGGTTTTTATCCAAAATCACATTAAAAAAAAACAATGCAAGTAAAATGTATGGAATTAGTCATTCTTTTTCCTAGTACACAACAGAGTTTTTCCACTTGCAATCCACTATAAGCAATAAAATCCCTAGGATATTGCTAAGTATTGCTGTCTTCACTTTCAAAGAAGAAAAAACGCAAATGCAGAAGCAGTACATGACCCACACAGACTACGGCTTGAATCAGCAAAACAATTTTTTTTAAAGTTAATTATATCAGATTGAAAACTTAGGAAAATGGGGTCACACTATAAGCAAAACAGCTTTTCATGGGAAAAGTTGAAATTAATGCAAATTTCATGATTTCTATAGATAACATCATTCATATCCCCCCCCCATATTTATGGATTCTTACAGAAGAACAATGAATCCACTGTAAAAAATGGACAGGTTACACAATATGAGGGAATATTCTTGTCGACAAACAGGCAGGTTTATCATTCTACCAATTTTATTAACAGATTTACTGGTACTACTCCCAGATGCAGTTCAGGTGCCTCTGTCAAGTCACATCAGAACACGCAACTTTACTCGTGCAGTAAAAAATGCCATTTTAATGGGAAGTACCTACATACTACAGGGCTTTACGAACTATTAAAGAGAGAAAACATCATTTTGGCCTCACAGAGGTGCCAGGACCAGACCCCCAGTTTCCTGGGCCAGCCGTGTGGTCCCAGGCAGCACCGCAGCACTCCTGTGACTGTAGCTGAGAACAAGCTTGTTAAGTTGGCATTAATTAAAGCTGCATGATAATAGCAATAACGCAGTAGTCCCTCTGCTTTCCCAGGGCAGCCAGGTGTTCCCTCACCACAGGAAACCGGTGCTGGACTCGCTCGGGAACAGGTTCCTGCACCGTGAGGCACACACTGCACCCAGGACCTATGGCCCTGCCACACAGACCCATTTCTCCCAGGACTCGGAACAGTAACAGAACGCTGCGGAGCCCGGAGCGGCGCTTTTTAAAGCCCTCCCTAAGGCAGCTGCTGCCGCCATCCCGTTTCCCAACGTGAAGGGCGCGCGGCTCGCCTGGTCCGAGCCGGCCCAAACCGCCCCACGCCCGTGGCGGTGCCCCGCTCCGTTCCGTTCCGTTGCGTTCCCGCGCGGGCTGTTGCGTCGGGAGGCGGCGCGGAGCGGGACGGGACGCGGCGCGGAGCGGGACGCGGCGCGGAG